CTATTTACAAAATATGGAAATGAAAAAGGAATTGTGCAGCGAATTTGCAGCTGTGTGAGGTGTTATGTTTTTCAAAGGTGTTTGTTAGGACAAATTCTTGAAAACAGCAGTTTTTCCTGAAGTGATTTCGTTACTGCTGCAGCGCTAATTGGCCCATTGAAAAGCAATCCGATAACGTTACTTCCGGATTGGAGATGTTCGGTTTATAACGGTGCACTACATTTGATGAAAACAAAAACATTTGATTAGGCTTTCGACGGGCCCTCTTGTCGTTTTCTCTGCGAACTTCAAGGCGAGAAAGTGGGATCAATTGCACGAGGAACTTTGACTGTAAAAGGTGAAATACGGCGCGGAGTAAAAGTAGCCCAGCAGCACCACCCCCTGCAACAGCCTGCCCACCACAACAGCAGTCCCGCTCCCTAGGTTACTATAGCATTACTGTCGAGAGACGAAAGGGGGCACGGACTTCTCATCACTCGATGCACAGCTGTTCGAGTTTTTGAGGAGCTAGGATGCTTACGAAGTGAGGGTTAATCTTCACTCGGTAGAGCACCGTTAGGAAGGACGCGGTTACCTGGCAGTAAGCCTGTCGCCCGGCTAGAAGGCAGAGATGCAGACGATCAGCGGACGAGTTGCAGCGCGTATTGTGCGATGTGGGACGTACTATAGTACATTCTATTTGACTTGACGCTAAATCGCTACAGTACGCGCTGCGACTCGTCCGCTGACCCGTCTGCGTCTCTGCCTTTTCGCCGCGCGATGGGCTCTCTGTCGGGTGCTAGAACGACGCTCGCACCTACGCGCCCCATTGCTATCATGTACACATTACGTTGGCTTTTTACGGACCATGTTGTGAAATAGCTCTTTTGGGTTCGCAAGCGAAAACAAAATGGTTCGCTCATTACAGGAGTATCCTCCTTCTGCAGAAATTACAATTACTGTTGGCGGCACGGTCTATCGCACTACATCACCCCTTATGAGGAGACTCAAAAATGCATTAGAATGTGCTACACATCCTATATCAGTGGTAGTGGACGTAGGAAACAATATGGACGGTTTTGTAGTAACTCCAATTTGTTCCAGTAATTACCGCTTGTATCACCTCATCCGTGCAAGTTCAAGATGACTATCGATTTACGCCTTCAAAAAGTCCACACCAATAGAGCGTGAAAAGGTGAGAAGAAACTCGATCGAAAAACTTGACATCAGTTTCTCTCAAAGTTGTAATCTTTTCAGTTCCTCATACCAGAAATTGTTTTCATGTTCATAGTAATGGCATTAATTTCTTGTTGTGCAAGTCTGGAAAAATAACCTAATACTATGAGGTATAGCGCCAAGCTTTCACTCGAATTTATCTCTTCGAATACGCCATGTATTTATCAGCTCCAAATGGTCACTTT